TCCCTGTCTGGGACCTAGATCTAGCCACCACCCAAAGATTTGTATCACTTGGTCCAACTTTTCTTCCTTTTTCCTTCCTTCCTTCCTTCCTTCCTTCCTTCCTTCCTTCCCATCTCTCCTTCCTTCCTTTCCTTCCTTTCTTCCTTACTTCCTTTCTCCTCCTTCTTTCCATTTCTTCTTTCCTCCCTCTTTTCTTCCTTCCTTCCTTCCCTACCTCTTTCCCTCCCTCCCTTCTTCCCCTCACTCCTTCCCTCCCTCCCTTCCTCCCTTCCTTGGCTTTTGTACAAGTACTGGGGTTTGAACTTAGGGCAAGGGCACTGTCCCTTACCTTTTTCCATTCAAAGCTTAGCATTTCACCACTTGAGCCACAGCTCCACTTTTGACTTTTTGCTGATTAATTGGAGATTAGACTTTCCTGCCCAGGCTGGCTGTGAACTGTGGTCCTCAAATCTAGCCTCCTTAGTAGCTAAGATTATAGGCATGAGCCACCAGTGCCTGGCCAGTATCTTCTCAGAATGCTTTCTTGCCTGTCCAGCCATGCACCGAGGCTGCCTCAAGTCAGGTGGGAGCCTGCAGACAATTCTTCAAAGGCTTCTTCTTTTCCTTCCTTCCTGCCTGCCTGCCTGCCTTCCTTCCTTCCTTCCTTCCCTCCTTCCTTCCTTCCTTCCGTCCTTCCTCCCTTCCTTCCTTTCCGCCTTTCTTTTCTTTTCTTTTTTCAGTGCTGGGACTTGAACTCAGGTCCTGGGTGCTGTCCAAAGCTTTTTTGCTCAAGGATAATGCTCTACCAATTTGAGCCACAACTGCACTTCTGGTTTGAGGATAGTTAATTAGAGATAAGTCTCACAGACTTTCCTGCCTATGCTGCCTTTGAACCACAATCCCCAGATCCTCAGAGCCCCAGCTATGAGGAGGCTTTTTGCTGAAGTGTGAGGGAAAGAAGCCTCCAGAGCTAGTATGGGCTGGAAAGAAACAGTAGCAAGGGACTAGCCCTGCCAGCTCTGTCCTGAAGAGCTCACATTAGTGATTGTTAGCCTCAGAGCTTGTAGAATGGCCCAAGCCCTTTGCAGGACCATCATGGAGATCATTCAGGGTCATCGTTCTGAATGAGCATAGGAGACTGGAACTGAGTCCCATCTCATAGCATGTCTGGCCTTAAGGCTTAGGGGAAGACATCGTTGGTCATATGGACTGAACTGCCCAGGGGAGACAGATTGGATTTACCACGGTCCCTGGTTACTGCTGCTAGGGATGGCACATCCCTTCAGGTATCTGGGCCATGTAGAGTTTTCCTGGGGGCACAAACTGCTGGCTCCCATGGTGAACTGCTCTTTCCTTCCATAAGCTGCCTTAACCTGCAAGTAATGAAGGCCAAGTGTGTTCTAATCTCTTCCTGGCAGTAGAGGCCCATGGATTAACATGAGAGGAACTCAGGACCATCCAGACCTCAGAGTGTGTTGCTTGTCTGTGTGGATGATGGTGTTTATCCTTGGCCAGCATGGTAGCCACACAATTAACCCAGGGTTGGCTCAGGATTCCCAGATATTGTCACTAGCTCTGGGAAGTAGTATTGCCATTCATTTGGGTAGAACAAGGCTCACTTGTAATCCTAGCTACTCGGGAGACTGAGATCTGAGGATCATGGTTCAAAGCCAGCCTGAACAGGAAAGTCCATGAGATTTTATCTCCAATTAACCACCAGAAAACTGGAAGCGCAACTGTGGCTCAACGTGGTAGAGCATTAGCCTTAAGCAAAAGAGCTCCGGGAGAGTACCCAGGCCCTGAGTTCAAGCCCCAGGACTGTGGGAAAAAATGGAACAAGGGTTTCCCAGTAAGTGGCATAGAGGCCTTGCCTTGCTTTCTGCTGAAACTGGGGTCCCATGGAATCAATGCAGCAGAGCTAGAAAGGTGAGGGTCCCCAACAAGAAGGCCATGACCCCTTCTGACAGGAGAGCTGGGCTGGAACCCAGCAATTCATCGGAAAGATTTGCAGGACAATTTCTAAGACCCCTTAGTGGTCTCCCTGTAGAGGGAGCTACAGGCCCACCCAGGCCTCAGTCAGCTGCAGACTCCAGAGGACAGACTATGGAGTCATTGTGTGTGCGCCCTGCTCCTTCCTCACCCCTCAGCCCTGGCTCAGGGCCAACAGGAGTTGGCCAGGCACTAGGCCTGATTGCCCCTGATTCAACATCATAGAAGCAGGGTGCTGTCTTTGTTTTCTCTCTCACGCTTATTTGGGGGGGAATCCTACTGGCACAGTTGCAGCTTTCTTGTTAGCATAGTTCCTCCTCTGAAAGTCCCCCTGGCACCCCTTTACTCTGTTCCCTGCATGGCCTGTGAACAATCACTGTCCTCAGTTATAACATGTCCTAGGTATCAGGTGACTAATCTCCCAGGACCACAAAGACTCTGCTGGTTAGGAAGGGTGGGCAGCCAGGGCTGGCTGGCTGGAATCAGGAGTGGGCAATGTGCAGCATGCTGCCCCAGCCCTGAGGGTCAGTAAGCAGTGGTGTCTATGTGTCTAGGATTACTGGTGTGAACCACCAGCACCAGCTGTCAGTAAGATTTCTCCTATCTTCATCAATCTGGTTCTTTGAGATTTTTTTTTTTGGAAGGGGGTAACTGGGAATTGAACTCAATGTCTCATGATAGGCAGGGGCTCTACCACTTTACATCTAGATTCTTTTTTTTTTTCCTTTTTTTTGATCGTGGGGACTGAACTCTGGGCCTGGGTGCTGTCCCTTAGCTCTTCAGCTCAAGGCTGGCGTTCTACCACTTGAGTCACAACACCACTTCCGGCTTTTTCCTGCTTATGTGGTGCTGAGGAATCAAACCCAGGGCCTCAGGCATGCGAGGCAAGCACTCTGCCACTGAGCCACCTTCCCAGCCCTCTAGATTCTTTTTGTCTTGGTTATTTTCAAGGTAGGGTGTCATTATTCCTGGATCAGCCTGGGCTTCAGTCCTCTTACTGTGCTTTCCTGGGTTGCTGGGGAAGATAGGGCATGTGCACAGCCATTGAATGAGATTGAATTTCTTGAATTTGTATACCCAATCTGGCCTTATACTGCCATCCCTCAATCTCCCCCTCCCAAGTAACTAAGATTACAGGTTTAAGCCACACACCCTGCTTTCTTTAAGATTTTGTTCTCTGGAGACCAGCTTGTCTTCTAGTCTACTGGCCTCTAGAGAGGATTTTACACCGTAACCTCCAGCCAGTTGTCTCTATGCTTCAGGCTCAGCAGATATGGTTGATCCTAGTCATCCTGCTCCATGCTCCCTGGGCTCCTGGTTAGTTGGGAGTGTCCCTGAAACAACCTCTCTCCCTCTTCCCACAAACACCCAGGCAGCAGAAGCTCTGCTCACTGTTCCTCCCTCTGTAGGCCAGCAGCTGGTACTGACGACAGGCCCTGTGTGGCCAGTCCCTGCTGGCTTTCCTTATGGTTATCCGTCTGGCTCCTGGCTTCACCCAGCCTCTTTTGTATGTAATGAGCACCCAGTAACCATACCACTCCTCTAGCCAGTTTTTAACTTCTCCACAAAACGTGGCACTCAGGAAACACAGAGGACTGGGAGTAAGAGGCAGGACATCTGGATATTATTTATTTTTGCTGAAACCAGTGATGGCCTCTGAGTCATCCCAGAGGAGGCCGGGGTGGGGAGGGGAAAAAAAGGACTGCCCAGCAAGAAGAGGGTACCCTGTCTTTTGGCCTCTAGCTGGAGCCAGGCATTGTTAGGAAGGTTCTAGTCTGTAGGGATTCCCAGGAGCTCCTGGGAAGTAGCATTCTCTTCACTTCCTTCCAAGCTACTCAGCAGAGGCAACACTATTAGTGTGGAGACATCGGGCGACCTCACAATTTGATTCTGCCTTCAGCCTGTCACAGATTTGTGTGTGTGTGTGTGTGTGTGTGTGTGCACGCTTGCATGCACAGTGCTAGAGCTTGAACAGCTTTTTATCTTTTTTTGCTTTTTATTTTTTTTTGGCTGGTTGTGGGGCTTGAACTCAGGGCCTGGGTGCTGTCCCTGAGCCTCTTTGTGCTCAAGGCTGGTGCTCTACTACTTTGAGTCACAGCAGCATTTCCCGTTTTTCCTGAGTAGTTTATTGGAGATAAAAGAGTCTCACAGACTTTTCTGCCCATACTGGTTTCAGTGATCCTCAGATCTCAGCCTCCTAAGTAGCTAGGATTACAGGCGTGAGTCACCAGCACCCGGTTTTGAATGGCTTTTTTAATTGGAGGTAAGGGTCTTATGGACTTTTCTACCTGAGCTGACTTGATCCACAATCCTCAGATCTCAGCCTCTGGAGTAGCTAGTGTTACTGGCTTCTACAATGAATAGGTTTATAGAGGCAAAGCTGTTGTTTTTATTGGTGTTTATGTGGGTTGGGTAAGACAGGCCGAATTTGATAGGCGTCACAGTCTATTAAGGATTCGTGGGGCCTCTTGGAGGAAAGGAGGTCCTGCGTCTATCTAGAAAAGGTGCTCAGGAGAATGCAGCTGGGTTGTGCTTTAGTATTTTCCTCGCCAAATTCGGGGCACGGGGCTCTCAATTTGCAGGTGCAGGGTGGTAACCACACACATCCCCCGGGGTGTCTTCAGACAGCAAGGGATGGGGCTGGTCGCCTGGGTCTTGGGGAAAGCCCTGCGCCTCCAGGCTTCGGGATCTCTGGGAATCCCGTTCCTCGTGGCAGATGTGGGCTCCAAGGCCGTCTCTTCCCTGGGAGTCTCTGCTCAGCTCCAAGAGAATGGAAGCTGCACCTTGACCTACAGCTCCGCGCCAAGGCGCAGCCCTGCCTCCCGCAGACCACGCCCCCGGCCCCCGCCGCGCTCAGCTTTCCCCGGAGCCCCCAGTAGCCATTGGCTGCGCTCCGGTCCCCGCCCCGACGCCTGCCCAGGAGCGCCCCGCCCCAGCCTCAGTTTCCCGGCCGGCGCAGGGCGGGCAGGGGGCGGGGCCCAGCTCAGGCCACGCGGGGCGGAGCTCAGGAGCTGACGAGGGAGCCCCGCCCCCGGGACCATAACCGGTCACCGTCGTCGCTGCCGCCGCCACCGCTGCCTCCCGATACCCAGCGCCCGAGGCTCGGACCCGAGGCCGACGCCGGGCGCCCCGCCTCCTGCCCGCCATGGCTACGCCCCGCGCCCCCAGCGCTTTGGCGGCCGCTGCGCCGGCGTCCGGAAAAGCCAAGCTGACGCACCCCGGGAAGGCGATTCTGGCAGGTGGGCCCCCGGCGGGACGCGAACCCCCGTCTCACTCGCCCCGCCGGGCTTCCGGGTGGGCCCGGGACACCGAGGCCCCGCCCCACTTCCGGGTAGGGCGGGGGTTGGGGGCGTCGGAGGGGGGCGCGGCCCGGGTTCCCACCCGGCGCGTGGGCTTGCCCCCCGCCGGCCGCTCCTGCGCTGACCCCCGAGACCCCGGGGTGGGGGTGTGGGGACCCGGCCCGGCCTCCTCGAGGCTCTGGAAAGCGGCGACGCGGGCAAAGTCCGGGCGGGGGAGGGGCTGAGCGGCGGAGGGCTGCGGCCACCGTCTGGGGGCGTCTCGCGACCCGAGTGTCCTGTCCCCCCGCAGGAGGCCTAGCGGGCGGCATCGAAATCTGCATCACATTCCCGACCGAGTACGTGAAGACGCAGCTGCAGCTGGATGAGCGCTCGAACCCGCCGCGGTACCGGGGCATCGGTGAGCAGCGGCGGCGGCCGCGGAGCGGCGGGTGGGAGCGGGTGGCGGGACCGACCGGCGAGTCCTAACCGTCCCCTTCACAGTGGACTGCGTGCGGCAGACCGTCCGCAACCATGGCGTCCTGGGCCTGTACCGAGGTCTTAGCTCCCTGCTCTACGGCTCCATCCCCAAGGCGGCGGTCAGGTGAGGCCAGGCGTGGTCCTGGGGCTGCTGCGCACGGGAGGGGGGGATCCCAGGGGCGGGCCCCTCTTACCCCATCCCACCTCACCCCCAGGTTCGGAATGTTCGAGTTCCTCAGTAACCAAATGCGGGACTCCAAGGGACGGCTGGACAGCACGCGCGGGCTGCTGTGCGGCTTGGGCGCTGGTGTGGCCGAGGCCGTGGTGATCGTGTGCCCCATGGAGACGATTAAGGTGGGGAGGGGCCTCCCACGTGCAGGGTGTGGAAGTGGTGATCAACTCTAGATGGGTACAACGTAAGATTAAAGCGTGAGCAGGGCTGGATCTGCAGGGGAGCGGGCGGGGAGGGTCTTCTGTGGCGACAAAAACAAGAAACACATTTGTTACTCACACTGTGAAAAAGTGCAGCAAACGTTAAGAGACTCCTTAGCCAGGTAGGCCCTCTAGTGTCCTGAGGCCTCCTGGATTGATGTTTCAGAACAGCCAAGGTTGGCTCTGCTTGAGCTGGAGAGGTACACATCCCTCTCCCTCCTCCAGCACTGGCTGGCCTCCTTGGGTAAACTTCCTTGGAGGCAGAGGGCCAGGTATGCCCATCAAGTGGTGGCCTAGAAGCCAGCTCCTTTACTTCCCTCTCTCTCAGGTGAAGTTCATCCACGATCAGAATTCCCCCACCCCCAAGTACAGAGGATTCTTCCATGGGGTTAGGGAGATTGTTCGGGAACAAGGTGAGCCATTCTGGGTCAAGGACCATGACCAGTCTGGA